TGCCCAATCTGCAGGCATTCCTGGGCAGCACAGCAGAGGAGAGCAGGGACCAGAGGTGTCTGCTACATGTGTATAGGCATGCACACTGGAATTACTCTTTTGCTGTAGTCAGAAAAAACTACATGGGTGAGGAAGTTCCTAAGTATTACTGCCAGAGAGTTTTAAGTACCAGAACCAGAAGCTGTCTGTGGGATAAAAAAGAAAAGAAAACCAAGAAGAGACAGAAAAAAGTCCTGCAGATGTTATCAGAATCTGCCCTCTGCCTCTTTTGGAGGTTTTTCTTTAGAGAGAAAGCACATTTGGGTGTGCGAACGCATGACCTGCTTTCCCTTGAATGCCAAATTTTCAGAAACATCATTCATCTTACTCGATATTCCTCCTCTACCTGAGGTGAAGTCAGTCAGCTCTGCATGCCTGATACTGGTAGTTTTGCCTTAGCCTTAAAAAGCCATTGAAATAAAACAAAAGTGAAGCTCCAATTCCACACGGGTATTTTGACTTTATAGGGAGTTACCCATTAGAGAAAACTGTGACCTGAAACAGCTCTCTTCCCCGGTCCATTCCCAACCCTTCTGGGGATATGTGAAAGAATACCTTAGTTACTTCAGTCTAAGCTAAAAGTGCATTTAAAATCAATCCAGGTAATGTGTAGCCTCACTTGAGGGCAGAATCTCAAATTGGAATATTTATTACTGAGCTGTAAAGCTCTGTTTTCTCAGACTTTGTCAGAAAGGAGATATTTGAATGCCAATAGGGACATCAGGCTCCATCTCTTTATAGACCTTGGGTCAGGAAGGGATGTAAGTACATCATCAGCTTTAGCCCTGCTGACTTAAAGGATAGTTAAGCACATATTTTTTCTGTCATGAACAGGAAATGTGCAGTACTATACTCATCTTAGCTGCAAGGGGAATATGCAAACTCACTTATACAAGCTACCTAGCTCACAGCAAAGCGTAGGTGCAGCTTTTCTTGCACTCTAAGCTATGATCAACAGAAAAGGATCTGGCCAGAAGTGAACAGTGGGATCAGCCTATTGAGATTTTTGTTCAACACAAATGTATGAAAGTAGCAGTTTATTATGCCACACAGCAAGAACCATCCCTGACATTTTTCCTGGTGGACAAGGACCTGGAGATACTGGATGACATCTGTTTGAAGATGAGCCAGCAGTGTGCACAGGTGGCCAAGAAGGCTGGTGGCATCCTAGCTTGTATCAGGAGTGGCATGGCCAGGAGGACCAGGGCACTGATTGTCCCTCTGTACTTGGCACTGGTGTGGCCACATCTCAAGCTCTGTCATCAGCTTTGGGCCCCTCACTGCTAGAAAGACATTGAGGTGCTGGAGTGTGTCCAGAGGACAGCGTAGCAGGTGAAGGGTCTGGAGCTCAGGTTTTATGAGAAGCAGCTGAGGGATCTGGGGGTGTTTACTGTGGAGAAAAGAAGGCTCAGGGGAGAACTTCTGGCTCTTCCCAACTACCTGAAAGGAGGTTGTAGCCAGGTAGTGTTTTGTCTCTTCTCCCAGGTCATAGGTGACAGGAAAAGCTGTGCCAGGAAAACTACATATTAGGGGAAATTACAGAAAGGGTTGTAAAGCATTGGAACAGACTGCCCACAGAAGTGGTGGAGTCACCATTCCTAGAAGTGTTCAAACAACATGTGGATATGGCACTTGAGGACATGGTTTAATGGTGAACATAGTGGTGGTAGTTCCAGGCTGATGGTTGGGCTTCATCATCTTAAGGACCTTTTCCAACCTTAGTGATTCTGTGGTTCTGTGATCAGGGACCTCTCTAGGCTTGTCACTCCTAGGGTGCCTAGGATGCCAAGGCCCAGGCTCAGGCAGATGTATCCTGCTGGGGGTGACCTGGCTCACCCGTGCTCATGCAGGAGCATTTCCAACAGGAAGATGGGCCAGCATGAGCAATGAGGGGAAGAGCAGTAGGGACATCCTGTTTCTAGAGCCATCCTATCTGAACCATGGCATTGTCCAAGAAGAGGAGAAGTGTCCCTCAGATGGAAGTGCTCTCCATGGCTCCCACTCTTCTCTGCGCAACATGACCCTGCAGAGGCAGCTGCAGTGCTGCCAGACCCCATATTTCATGGAAGGGGAATGAAAGGAGCAGAGACCTAGAGCCCTGCCAGGGTCTGACCCTGCCGTGCTGACCCATGGCAATGCCGCTTCTGCCACAATTCCCTCTTGCTCACGTGTCTGTAGAAATCCCTGAAGAGAAAGAGGCTCTGGAAGAGATGATGGGGTCTGCAGGAAGAGACAATGAGAGGTTGTAAGAGGACAGGGAGGGGAGGGAGCAGTAGTCAAAGCATACCCTGGAAGTCACCAGGGGCCACTGCACTGTGGAATCTACTGCTCAGTGTTATTTTCAGGGTGGAGGTGTGGCTCTCGGTGGGACAGAGTCGCCCTCCCTTGCAGTCCCTGCAGCCCCGTCCATGGGACTCCCTGGAGCAGAGGCTGTAGTCCAGCTGCAGCCAGCCTGCACAGAGATTTCAGTGCACTCCCACAACCAACCACACACACGCTCTGCAGTGATCTCTTGGTGACACCTCCAGGCACACTAGGAGCACTTATGAAGCCTGTCCAGTTCAGAAGAAGATGATTCCAGTTAGGACAAGAGAAGCAGCGATTTGTGGCATATATATTCCCTAGCCACTTCAAAAACTCCTTCAGTTTAGAACATGGTTGTCTGACATACTCAGACTCTCCACCCTCTGTGTTACTCCATTTATTTTTCACCAAATCACAGGGAGGTTCTTTCCCCCTACGCTGTTTTCAGACAAGCTTTCTTTGGCCTTGCAGAGTCTGACAGGTGACAGACCTCTTGTGTGACCACACACTTCTTTTCATCCCCACACTTCAACAGCCCATCACAAATATGTGTTTTGCTGTCCAGGATTTTCTAGTCTCCCTATCCTTCCCCTCAGGGCAAGTCTCCAAGAACCGACCAACACTCTTTTACAGTGTTTCCACACCTAATTAGCGCCTGGTTTTTCTCCTCTGGAAGCTGGATAAGCAATGTTACAGTAACAAGTAGATTCACATCGACTAAAGCATGCACGATATGGCCGTTTGTTAGAGTGTGATGTCTCCAGTTGTCAAAGAAACATTTCTTCTCCATAAGATTAAAAACAAAACAAACCAGATCCAATATAATTAAGTACAGCCAGTCACCCTTGAAAAAAGAGAATATATGGAAAACAAATCCTGACATCTGAATGTGAAGCTCTTAAGCAAAACTTGTCAGTGCTTCAAGAAATAAATATGAAAACCGTACCACAAAAACACTAGATGCATTATTAGTAGTATCTTTAATAACAGGAAAAATATTAAAGTGCCATATTGTTTACAACACAAAATTAAAATTTTAATTTTAATCACTCCTGTTTACCCAGCAACATTCTGATTAGCAGTCAGAGTTGATTGAACAGTGGAGGAAAGAAAACCCTCTCACAACAGATATGCCACATAAAAGACTTCTGCACGAGTCAACAAGCAGCAACAGCAGAGTTACACAGCCAGCTAAAGAATGTACCCAGGTCTGGCAAACCAAGACACAACTTATGCCTCTGAAGCAGTGATTTGAATATATTTCCTTTCCTCTCCTTTGGTGTGGGGAACCTTCCTGAATATTTGCCTGGTAGAACTGACGTACACATTAGCTTGAAACAATAAAGGAGTGGGGAGTAAGAACTGAGTAAGAAATCCCAGGACACCGTTAGCAATTTCTTCTTTATTATGCATATTTTGCTGCTCGAGCACATTATGCTCACTCTCCTTAGGGCAGGGTTTTTTAAGAGCACAGTATATATTGTCAACAACCAAAAATCAGCACATCGAGCTTGATTTTCTGTCTTTTGCCTCCTATTTAGCAGGGGGAGTGCCGTGGCAGAGGCAAGATTTTCCAGCACAAATCTTAAAGCATACAAGACAGAAGAAGTAGTTTCCCATTCCAACCCCTACGCCTTAATTCCTCCAAAAAAGAAAAAAAAATCCAAACAGGTAGATGCACAAAACAAACGATGGTAATTCATGTACCCTGTCTCACATATCTATCTCAATTTTAGGCGCTGCCCTTGCACTGCACAGTTCAGAGCAGGACGTGCCCTTCTCGCTGGTTATTCAGAGTGACAGGCAGCAGCCCTCCCACCACAATTATCTGGTGGTGCCTTCAGGGCACGGAGCTGCCCAAGGCCCCTTCCCCCGGGACACCTCCTCAGCAGGGAAGGGGTTCAAAGCTCAGCCACAGCAGTGTCTTTGAAGCATCCAGACATAAATCCAAGGCTCCTGAAGATGAGCAGTGTTAGGAAGCAAGCTGCGGCTATTAAGCTCTTACTCCAGCAGGGAAAAAAAAAAATCAAATGCCACAATCTTCCATAGTTTGATTAACCACATGCTTCATTAAAGCTTTCACTGCTGTTTAACTGAGCTGTAAATGCCAGGAAGGCAGTGATATTTTTGAATGAGACAGAGACAGTTCATGAATTTTTTATTTTTTTCCCTTCTTTTCTACCCCACTCCCCCATTTCCTTCTAACCAAAGAAAGTAAACAGGTGCATTAAGTGTAAAAGAAATGGAATATGGATTTAAAAGTTTCATGTAGGTTTTTTTAGACAGTCAGCTCTGTCCATGCTTTTGCACTGTACCTTACAGTAGTTCCCAAGGCTGAAACCATGTAGTAGATGCAGACTAAGCACTTGAAACAAGTTTTACCCCTCTGTTCTCAAATCAGAGAGAGTTTTACATTAGATAAACCTGGATTTTAAAGGGAAGGGAGATAAATCTGCTAAAAGAAACTATAGTGGTACAAACCCTTTGAGCCACCACCACTGAAGAGGGAAAGAGTTGGTACCTCACAGTTTCAGCCCTCTATTATATAAATCCTTTTCTTACCTGCAACTGAGAAGAAACAGCTGCAAATAAATGGCCTTTCAGCTGTGGTCACTTCTGTACTTAATTCTTAAGTGCTCCCAGTGCAGCAGCAACCTAAACCAACCCTGTTGGATAACTAGAGCACTGCTGCCTGCTCCTTTATGAGTCTCAAGCTGCTCCACAGCCATTTCCTGGCTCCCTAAAGCCCACCTGCTCCCCACAGCTCCAGCTGCAGCTCATAAGCTTATCCCAGGCACCAGGTGAGAATGAGCCCCAGCCCCCTGCAATTGCTGCTTCAGGGCATCAGGTGAGGCCTCTGTGCTGGCCCCACCTCGTTCACTTGCAGGAAGGCTCCTGTAACCCACCTTCAGAGAGAAAAGCCAAGGGTGGCAAGTCAGAATTTTAATTCATTTTGCTTGTTGTCAACAGCTTAAAATCCCTGCAAGTCTCATTTTGTTAGCTGATGAACTACTGCAGCTTCTGCAGTTACGTACATGGATCTTTCAGGCTGAGGTATTGCCAGTTATCACAGACTATTTGAGAAATCAGAGCAACTGTACTGGTCACAGCACTTTTTGTAATCTTTGTGGAAATATTCCTGATATACAAAGCAATAAAATGCAGTCAGTGATCAAAGCTCCAAAGATGCAGATTGTGCTTTTACTCAATATGCCAGGCTATGAAACCACCCTTTCTTAAATGAAATTTATGTAAATAAGACTGCCAGTTCCTTGAGTTTTCTGACAAGGGAATGGTCTAATATTTATAAGGAAAATCTAGATGCTGGCAGGAATTAGATTTAATAGTTAAGATAGCGTTATTTTGAACTGGATAGGATCTCAGCATTTTATTGAATGTGACTTCTTCTAGTTAATGGTACCAAGGTAACCACCAAAGTGCTCCCCAGAGCTCCTTTCAGGTGGCTGCACCAGGTTTTTCAAGCAATCCCTACCAAGGCCTGAGCCTGCAGGCAGCTCCCCTTCCCAGCAGGCTGCGGGTGGCTGCTGTAGGAGCAGTGCTGGCTGCCACAGAAGGAGCTGTGCAGTTTCACGTGGGTGAACCATCAGGCTCCAAGGGCCAACAGTTCCAAGTCCAGCTGGAGCAGTGGCTGGAGGGACCAGCTGATGGAAACCTGATGAAGTCCTGCACCGGGAACAGAACAGCTCCCAGCTGGCTGAGTGCCCAGGGGATGGAAGGCAGCTTGAAAGAACAGGATCCACCTGGATGCCTGCATCCACTGAGTGGATCCTGTTGCAGTGCCCGTGTCACAGAAGAGCAGAATCAGTGAGCATCAAGAACTGGAATGGCTGACCACAAAGGCTGCAGGATCTCTGTTCTTGTAGACACTCACCTGGACAAGGCCTGAGCAACTCGAGCTAACCTGTAAGTCAATGGTGCTTTCAGCAAGAGGTAAGACCAAATACCCTCTAGAAATCCTTCCACTCCAAATGGTTCTATTCATCTCAAACTTGAGCTTCAGCAGCAGAAATATACTTGATTATATTTAGCTGTTTTCTTTGTTTCCTCTTCCAAGTGCTCTTTATTTGGAAGTCAAAGCACAATCTCCTGAACCATTAAAACAAAACAAAGAAAAACAGGTGTATACAGAGTTCTGGACATGCACAAAGTAAGGATCAAAACTTCTTTAAGATTTTCTCTAAAATATTACCCTCAAACTAAGCACACAGTGTCTCAAGAGTTGTACGTACGCTTTTTCCCTTTCCATAAAGTTGCCCTGGGAATTAAGGGTCCACTTAGTGGCCTGAGTCAACTGACCCTTACTCTGATATCTTGTTCGTGCGCCTCTATCAGACCAACACCAGATCAGGAGAACTCTAAAATCCTACCCTTTTCTCCAGTACTGATTTTTTGTTACACAACCAGGGAAGTCCTGGGGGGGAAAAAAAGTTTATAACAGTACTTCCCTAAAAACATCTGGACATTGGTTCAAAAAAACTTTCAAGTTTTTATGCACATTACATATTCACAGTATCCAAGGCCTAACAAGAAACACAGTAACTCAAGTCACAAGGCATATACATTTAAAATCTGAACTTAAATTATCAATTATATATGAAGAGAATAGCAATTTTGCAGCAAAACCCTAAAATTCTGCTTCTTCTCTCCCCTCTCTCCTATTGTCAGACATGTATAAGTCAAAATGCTTTTACTTACTAATTCAGACCAAAGAAAACAATATGCATTAACTGGCTTAGTGACATTTTATTAAAGTAATTTTTCAGGTTTCATGCTTCCCCCCCCCCCCATATGTGCAAATTTCTTCTTCTGGCACTAAGCCACAGACCAATTTTAACATGGAAAACAGCTGTAGGAAAAAGAAAATCAGAAATTATCTTATAAATGGACACATAATACATTACAGTGATCCCTTCAGTAGTCAAATGGTTCATGAACATTATATTTTATGTAATATCACAAATGCACAAAATATGCTTTCCATATGATTGCAAAAACAGCAGCGCTCTGGAGCCAAGTGCATGACTTAATATTATAATAATGAGTCTACTTCAGTGTAGTGGATTTTAATAAGACTTTAATAATATTGGTATGAAGCCAAATTACATAATGTCCCAAAATATGAAACAAAGCTTTTGTAGAGAAAATAAAAGCTCATTGAAGTATAACCACATTAAAAAGAAAAAAACCAAAACCAAAAACAACAAACCAAACAACCACCAATGTTATCTAAACAAAGCCATTAGGCATACTTAATTTTTAAAAATCAAATTAGAGAAAATGAACTCAAATCTATTCCCAGATCTCCAGATAAAATTAAAAAGGATGTTATTTTAGGCAACATTTATGAAAATGGAGGTACTGTGTCAGCACTGGGAAACAAGCTAACACCGCAATTAGATCTTTTGGCATAGATATGGATATGGGTTGAATATCTCCAATTTATCTCAAAGGACAAAAATGATTCAGTTACCTTACAGGTAGAATTTAAGACTGAGCTATGTTGGATTATCTAGGAACAGCTTAGACCAATAAAATGATTTTCTTTTACACATGAAAACAAATTCAGTGTGAAAGTCCCAGAGGTAAAGCACCAAATTATTTATTCCCTCAAGCCCCTTCAATTCTGGAGTCTTGGGGAAACCAAGGATTTGAAATCACCACTAAAGCTCACTCAGGCATGGACAATTCTCAGAACACCTTCCTCTCTCAGCCCTCCCCAAGTATGGCAATGTCAGATAGCAATTAAAAGAAAACTCAGCATTTCATTTGTTGGGTAACAAGCAAAATGGCACACATTCCTAAAGCTGTAAAACCTTTCAAATATTAGTGTTATGATAGTTGGAAGATTAGCATTTGCATGGATAACATTTTTTGTTCTTGATTAGGATCAGCTGTGAAGATCCACATATCCAACAGAGATCAACATCTATCAGCATATTCCACGTACCACTGGTTCCAAGTACTGCTGTTAAACTGAGGCTGAATCTATGCTGACAGCCCATCTGAGCATGTGGTGATGAATACAGGAAGAATCAGAACAGTTTGCTTTATTTACATTGTTTCACCTACGTGTCTCCATTTTTTCAGCAGTTTTGATAAAGGCATAAAACATTTTAAGTAGATTTAGATTCCACATGACAAGATGAAGTGAGCGGGACATTTTATGCCTTGGATTTCTTATAAGTCTACTTTAGCTACAGAAACCATTAAAAAGTTGCAAGTAGCTTCAAGCTGAAAGGCATTAGCAGCTTTTTAGAAAAGGATAATCATACTCTTCTAAAGACTTAATGAGACATAATTCACAGAAGCTTTTGACTTGGTCTGCTGTTAATCGAATCAAAGTCAATGACGATCTTGTTACACTTTGGCTTGAATTCCCTAAATAAAAAAAGAAAAATACATAGATTAGTCAGTGAGTAGTTAAAACATTTTGCTTGCTTTAGTTTCAGCTAAATTTTTGAAGGAATAAAAAAATTCCAAAAAACACATCCTTGGATTCTTGTAGTTTTCTTCTCTATAGGAGCCAATTATAGTGCACCACACTGAGAGAAACCTGGACAAGAAAGACTAAGACAAAAAGACACATGGGGTGGGTTAGCCTGTACATTCTTCAGCTATTGGAATTTATAAATTACCCAGGAGTCAAAGGACTTTTACCAACTTAGCTGCAGGTGGTGGCATAATGTTACCAGTGATTTTTGTTCATATATATTAATATTTTAAATATTTTAAATATATATTTAAAGATCTAGGTACAGATATAGCCATCCAGAAAAAATATTTATATCTTCTGTATATATATATATGCATTTAAAAAGACATTTGGAATACATTTTGATAATATTGATATTTTGATCAATTTTTTCCTGCCAAGTTTTAGAAAAACACTTTCAAGCTTAACAGAGTATCTTTTGTGGAAGGGAAATAGATCACATTATGCCATACTGGGTAAAACCCAAACTAGTTAAGAGGGAATAATTTAAAAATTGTAACTTTAGAACTCTAAAATTAATACTGCCGCAAAATGTTTCCTTTTATTATCATTACAGCATCTGCTGCAGCAATTAGCAAGGAAGGTATACAGGGACTGAGCATATATTTTCCAGTCTACGAGTAAACAAAAGATTATGCAAATAGTGTGGATTTAGTGCCTAATTAAGCTCTGCAGTTCAGTTCAAGAGATTCATTAAGTACCACCTACACCCTCAGCAATCGATACAAGGATAAGTAACAGTCCACGCAGGAAAGCACATGCTGCTGACCACAGAAACTCTGAAGGCTTTGTTCTGAATAGCAATCTGAAATGCAAGAAACATCTCTCACCCTGGAGAAGTTACAAGATTTGACTTGCAAGAGAATGATTTATGCTTCTTAGTCAAATAGTCTTAGTAGACAGGAAATACACCCAAGGACTAAAACTGAATTTCAAGTACTGCTGTGTTTTTCCATGGATATTTCTTAGCCCAGTAGGTATCTTTCATCCTAAAATTTTATCTGTCAGAATTGTTATGTTTGCAAATTTTTCAAAGTCTTTATATTAATACTGTAAAACTTTTTAGAGTTGCAGAGCCTCCCTGACTACATAATTAGCCTCACCCACAGCATGTTACTCCCATCAAACTCGCTGTTGAACAGATTGTCCTTAGGTATCTCTGACAGTGTCTTTAAAAACCCCGCTCTTGAAACATTTTTCAGGTTATCATTACTTTAAGGCAAATATTACAAGTTTTATTCTCTTCTCACCTAAAAGCTGACCAAAGAAGAGCAGCTGTAAGTACCAAGAATTATTTATGGGCAGCCTGTTTGACACTTTCCCAAACTGACAGCAACAAGATACTGAAGTTTCAATAAGGACGGAGTAATCCACAAAAACAGCAACAACAAAAAATCAGTTGGTTGTTTCAGTCCAAGTCAGATGATCACAGGATAATTCAGGCTCCACGTGACTTCAGGGGATCATTTAGCCCTACCTCCAAAGCAGGGTCAAGGAAGACTCTCCCAAGTACAATGTAATAAATAACCACCCCCTTGGCAGTTTCACTCCCATTCCAGGAACAAAATAAGTCACGGACCATTTTCTCACACAAACGTTTCAGAACTGAACTCTAACCACACACAAAACAAAAGAATGGTGCAACAGCTCTTCTACAGAGCAAGCCATCTACAAACACTACAGAGGAATAAAATGCTCCATGACTGAAAGAAGAAAAACATTTGCCCTAAAGTTGGTATCTTTCACATCCCCCTTTTTTTCATTCCAGAGTAAAAATAAAGTTAATTCTCTCACCTGTATATAATACCTGCCAAATCAAACAGCCGCCGTGCAGCTGTCATTTCTGTAGTGTCATGATACTTGTCAGACATGAAAATAACTTCCTTTATGCCTAAAGAAGTCACATAGAAAAAATGTTAGATTTACACTAAAAAAAATGGTAATATCTGGTGCACAAAATCAGAAGAGGCAGCATTCATCCACATACTCTCCAACTACTTGGTACACCTCTACTGACAAATGTATGCTGCGTAAAATTGCTGAATGATCTTGCCTAAATCACTTAGGCAGGGGAGAAATACAAAGGCTTCAAAAGAGAATTCACGAGCGTTTCATAGCTGATCAACACCTTCCTGTGTTTGCCAGACAATATGAATACCAATACACTCCAATTTAGTGCTGACCTAAGTGCATAAGGAAAAGCATGAGTGACTACATTGAGAACAAGCAGCCAATCTACCTTGAAGACCATTTGATTTTGATTCTGTAAGTAAGAGAATTGTATGAAGCACAAATGCAGAATACCATCTTCCTTCACCCCTCTTGATTTCAAACCATACTGAACCAAAATAAAGAAGCCTTCTGTTTGCTGCTTTCTTCCTGTGGCCATTAGTAGTAAGAGACACTCCCTAGAACAGCAACCCATGCTGGGACTGCATGACTTTACTCAGTGAGCAAAATACATGCTACTTCAAGCAGAGATTTTTACAGAACTGAATCCTGCTGCAGATACTGCCTAATCTCAAAAAAGGAGACACATTTAGGCCAGCACACTTGCTGCAGTGGCACAGATTTATAATAATTGTAATGAAAGACATAATTAAAATAGGATCATAGAAATCTTATGACATTTATGAGCAAAGATATTTTAAAATCTTCAAATATCTACTATGCATCACATTCAAATTAAAATTTCATGTATATACTCCCAACAGACCTTTTGTCATGCAGAAGTTTATTTCTTTCTGCCCTACTCTATTCAATGTGCCAGAGCACAGTATAATTGACAGTAATTATATGCAAAGCCTGTGTTGTTCTTTGGCAGCTCCTGGTCTAAGAAGTTACAAACCTAAATTAGAAGCACGTTTAGAATCACAGTAGATGCAATTAGCACTGGAAAAATTTGGCACCATTCAGATGCAAAAAACCCCCACAAGTAGCATCTTGTGAGGTTGACAGTGCAATTAATTTAGATCTAACATCAGCAATTTAACATCAAATACATCTATTAGAAGATGCCAATGAGCAGGCAGCATTGCAACCCTGAAAAAGCAAGCTGGCACTACTGCTTACCTGCCTGGATGATGAGCTTTGCACATTCATTACATGGAAATAAGGCAACATACATGCTGCAGCCTTTCACATCAGCTGAGTTTTTGTTCATGATGGCATTCAATTCGGCATGGCACACTGATTAAACAAGGGAAGAAACAATTCATAATGCTGATCATTAAATAAATTGGTCAAACTAAAATTAAAGTGTTACAATATAATTGCTTGCATTATATTCAAAGGCAAATAGCTTGCACAGTTATCATAAAGGGCAGAGAAAGAAATAAAAGCAGAAATACCAAGATCAATGAAGGTCAATTGTTCTGACCAGGCTGCTGATTAGTAATGATATCATTAAGTGCATTAGCACTGCCATTTCCCAACACCTATTGCAGGCAACAAAGCCATAGGCTGTGGGCCAAGCCATTGCAACCACCCTTAGTGAAGCAATATCTCACAGCTTCACAACTCTCTGGAGTATCTAACTGCCAGTATAAAACAGCTCATTTATGTGTTTACATGCACAGATAGGAACAGTCTTATGGTTGTAGGAGTGCTCTGTGCACTCTTAAAGGCAGCAGAACGGCCAAGTAAAACCGAGCAGCTCTGTCCTCTGGGCCTTAGAAAGGCTCATCACTGCTGCAGGATTCTCCCAGCCACAGAATACACAAGACACACTTGGCCATAAAAACATCCAGCTTCAATATTAGAGTGACTTTACTGCTCATTAAAAGGTGCCAGACTACATAAGCAGGAAAACAAAGTCCTGTATTTCTCCATGGATTTGAGAGAGGCCAGGTAGCAATGGAGCATCCTGCCTTGCTCCACCACAGCACAACAGCTCTTTCAGGACAGACAGCACCAGTGGTTATAATGAGTACAGAGCAGGTTATCTAATGTGTTACCCACACAGCTGAGAAGAACACAGTTTCTGTGTTGTCCATAATCAAGCTCTGAAAAAACATTAGGATCTCTGCAAGAACTTCCTGTTTACTCCTAGGAATAACAGCAAGTTGCATAATTTATACACCTACCTACTAAGAAACTGCCTGCTGCCCTGACTTCTTAAACAGATGCTGAGGTGCGGTGTGGGTTTGAGATCATTTAGAGACCTGCATGTGCAGACAACTTTAAGAGGTTTTCCACTGCTTGTTGTGAAGAACAGATTTTTTCAAAAAGTCGTTTTCTTCTCCCTTGTGCCCATGTGAAAATTAAAACAGACCAAGTTGCACAGCACAACTTCATAGTAAACTTGGTGCTATATTGCTGACCTCTGTGCGAATGATCTCACCACACAAATAACTGAGCACAGTACCTTCAACACACAGGAATCATTGCTGAATGGAAATGTTTTCCATATGGGCTAAATGTCTGCATGGAATTTTCTATACAACAGCAAATGCACTACAAATTTACAGCCTAACTTCCAGCACACAAACTTTCCCATGCAAGCAAGTCACAAAGGACTAAACACTCGCAAAAGAAAACTCAGTATTGGCTTCCACCACGCCCATGTTATGCTGTCCACATACCTTCTCATAACCAGTAAAGCCAGAAACCAACACAAAAACCAGGAAATTGAAAAAGAAAAAAAACAGCCAATAGCCAAGAACTATCACATTAAGGCTTCTTTCATTTTTACTGTTTCTATTGCAACTATTATTGGGTCACCCTGTATTTTAAATATATACCATTAAGTGTATGAGAGATGCAGGTATACGAACCAATACATTTAGAAAATCCAGAAAATATGTTGAACTCCAAGTGCATTACTAAGTTGCACCAATCTTATAAAGCCTTTACAATAAATAGTCAGAGAACTATTTTTCTGTGGCTACAGAGGACTGAGTAAAAGAGCGACATAATTTCCACAACTGGAAGTAAGGGTTATGTCAACAGGACAGAAACATCACTTTTAAGTTTCTTTGAACAATATATTTGTGTTCTAGACAGCAGTTTAAAATATAGAAGGCATCCAGAAACAAATATGTTTTCAAAGGCTCCCAAAACTAAAAAAGAAACAAAACTAATGACTTTAGTAAATATTTTTCCTTCACTAAAACTCAGAAATCTTCAGCTGTATAACCAGACAAGTTTCATTATTAGTACTGCAACAAGTTTCCTTCCTGCACTAATGAGAGAAAAAGGTTCTTTTGGCAGACTTCTAAAAACTTTCAAAAACTAACCTCTTCCCAAGCAAAAACAAGATCAGGCCAAGAATAACTTAGAGAAGATAATCAGTTGGAGCAAGGGAAAACCATAAATTTTGCCTCCTGATCATCTTCACACAATCTGAAGTTAAGAAAAATTACAACTATCCCACATGGACAGAAGACACAGAGACAGCAATAAGAAACAGACAAATCATTCCAAGACAAAAAGTACTTAAGTCTACAACAAACCCAGCAAGTTTTCATTTCAGATAGAAAATGAGGTACATTTTTCATGTGCCTAACCAAGTATTTCTTACTGAACTTATTGCAGAAACTAGTACAGGACCAGAACCTTGCACTGACTCCAGAGGCAATAACTTTCCATCCAGTGTTACTTTTTTGGTCTACTGGGCTATTAAATACCAAACCATTTTGTCTCAGTTGCTGTGATTTGAAACTATATTCAGGTAAGCTATCATTACACATTGTAATTTGTTTTATACATCTCCCTAGACATGTGCTACTTATAAAGGTTTATTATGCCAGATAGTTCTTAAGAAGGTGCTGGCATCAGACAAGTATTTTTAGGCTTTGTCCCACCACTTTTAATTCCCTCTTACTCATATTCACCTCTCTCTGACAAACAGGCATGGACCAGGTAAGATAGGTCTATGACCCCCAGATTCTTCATAGAGACCTCCCCAGCTTTTTTGAGAGACAGAAAACAAATCCAGAAGTACAAAAAACCTTCTTGTTAGTGACTAACTAGTTTATATTTGGGGTGTTATGAAGTTTTCTAAGCTGTTAAGAGCTACTGCTAGTAGTTTAAATTGTTCTCTCTGAGACAGTAAGAAGTTAACTTAAAATGGCCTTTTACAGGTGCACAGTTTTCAGAACTCTGAAAATAGTTATCTTTAGGCAGACTAGTAAAACTAAGAATTTTTACAATACCCTATGAGGGGCTCAAGAGCTTTGGTTTTAAAAAAAGAATATTCACATGTAGCCAACATAATATCAAGTCCACAACAGTGGTTTCCATTCTGGAGAAGTAGCTTGAAAAGTATTCTCAAAAGGCTTCATTAGCTGAAGAAATAACCATGCAACGAGAAGTTAAGTGTGTGCTCTGACATTCCCACCACCTGCTACTAGGTTCATGAGAGGGGAAAAAAGGAAAAAAGCCAAAGAATGACTGCTTCATTACTGGTAGTATTAATTGCTAGTCTCTCTATCTCTTATTGCATGCTGGTTTGTGTTGCATAGCTGAGGTAGCACTCATCCTTAAGCTCCCCTGTAAATAAGAGACCCCTGCTTACCCTATAAATGGTACCTTTTCAGGACTGAACACTGAACATGAGCATGCTCCCAGCGGGTTGCAGAGTCAGAAGTACTCTTCCCACATTCTAAATGTGTTCTGACTAGCAATTTCATGAGAACCACAAGACTAGTCAAGGTGCTAATATAGTGTTTAAAGGCTTACATGCTTGACAAAGAGCATGCTAAGGACCACCATAATTTTAAAGACCTTTTAAAGAAGCAATCAGAGGAAGGGCTAAGGAGAATGACTTTTTAGTGCTATTAATTACTAATTGAGCCAGAGTAAGAATTTTGTTATCCTTTACTTGCTGGAACTCTGACACTGGACACAGCAAGAATCCCAGAAGGTATCAAAACATTAATTTAAGGAATGGAGTCTGGAGTGACAACCACTGGGAGCAGTGGTTGATGGATCTGGAATTTGTAGAATGACATCTATTTTTCTCAGCCTTTTTGAAAGCATAGGGATGGTTGCTGGTCACTTCATGAAGGGCAGGCAGGACACTGATGCTGGGCTGGCACTGCCCTCAGCCCCTCCTGCTGTTCTCTGTCTCCCCCTCTGTGCTGAAGCACTGTGGTCAGGGAACAGAGGCAAGGATAACAGCAGCAGATTTGCTCGGAGGCCTAGCCTCTTCAGACTGCAGTAAGAAAAACAGAGCCCCAGCCTCACAGCTTTCTTCCACAAGAACTGGAAAGTGAAGCTGGGAACCACTCAGCCATTTATGAACATCACAGAACTTGCTGGGTCAGACCAGAGAAACACCTCTCAAAATGTGAGCAGCACTAGCTAACCCACCCTATTTCACAGCTTCTCCCATCCTGCTCCAAGCTGGTTCTACTCCTAGCAGAACACAGAAGTGTTTCTTAGCAGGCAAGTAGATAAGAGGAACTATTGTTACTAAATCTCCAAACTTTCTACAGGTTTGATGTATGACACCAGAATTGGACAAAAATCCATGCAGGACAAGAGTGAGTGGCTGTAAGAGGAGATCATCTCCTGTAGATCCCCTTCCCAGCTGAAGCCTCATTTTTGCACTGCCAATTGGAGAGAGAGCACCACACTTCCTCAGAGTGCCTTAGCAAATTTAGTGTTGTCAAAATAACAGCTTCTACAAAACTAACATTTGCCTGAATATTGTTGAGTGCTCATTTCTCTGAAAAATTAACAAAAAGCTCATAATCCTAACACAAGGAAATGTTGATAACAGTTTGTTTCATTTTACACAGCAGGTACTGTTCAATTAGAGCATAATTTTTCCACAGCACATATTTTATCATATTTGAACCTGTATAAATATTTGTAAGCATACTTATTCACTATTTTCTGTATTGCTCAGAGGTTTCTAAATTTGCCAGTCATTTTAATTTAAAACCCTTAATTAGAGACTGGTTGTCAAATGGATGTTCTTAGATTACAGTGGAGACAGAGGGCTTAACAGGAGCACAGCAACTAGATTTAGTGGGAAGATTTGCATTAATAGGACAAAAATGTAGCATTTAAAATGATTGGTGAGAGGAAACTGAACATCAACAAATCCTCAGATTCATCTAACAGAAACAGAGGGCACACTTTTGACTCTGAAAATGAGAATTTTGCCTAATTACTAAGAAGCTTCTGTACATAGTACTGAACACAATGCTTCAGGAAGAGCTTTTAATCTTAGTAAAACTGGCCTTCCATTTCTCTCATGGACACAGACACATCCCTGCCCTGCTGCTGTTTCTGACTGGCAGCCTGGAGCCAGTTCCAACATAACGATGACATCTTGATTTTGTGCTGTGAAAAATGGCACTCTGCAGAACTCTCTGTGCTTTCTGATATACCAAGGCTATACTGTTCAAATATACACCACAACCAGAAGAAGGAAGAGCCTCCATCCACTTCAAGAGCCTCATAAGGATGCACAGTACCAACACACGTGATCCACGTCACTGTTCCTGTAATATCCAAATGCCCTGCAAATGTTTGCATCCTCTAAGGAAAGGTGAACACTAGCTACCACGATTTGATGCCTTCTCTCAGTAGTAGCTCAGGTTGCACCTGGATTTCCTGATCAAGCACAGCACTGCCCCTAACATTGAGCTGAGCAGAAGCTATGCCTGAGGGAGACAGACACATGCAGTTTATTGCAGCAGACATAGGTAACCAAGGCCAAGGTAACCAAGGCCAATTTCAAACCAAGTTTCAAGATACAGGAAAATTCAAAAGTGACAGGACTTGTTTAACCTCACAACTGAAGTTCAAAAGGTAACTGTTATCAGTAAGTGCACAGGGAAGGAGGAAGGGTTAACCACAAGAAAAGCTAAAAAACATTGTTGGCACATGGAACAACCTAAAAACTAACCACAGATAAAGTGGGACATGGAACAACCTAAAAACTAACCACAGATAAATTTAGGGTGGAAACTGGAAGATTTTTAGCCATGAAACAGTAGCTGTAGTGTCAGTGCATCCATCAGTTCTGGAGCTCAATAAATTTATTACAGGATCACCTAACACCTTTCTGCAAAGATTGCTTCTGGGTCCAATCCTCTACTATGTCTATGCTGCTAAAGACACACAGGGCCAGGGACTGACCCCTGGCCCTGAGGCCAACTGGCACACACGGACTTATGCTCATCTTGGGGCTCCATCAGCAACACACTGCCCTCAGGCCTCAGTTTCCTCCAGCTCCAGAGTCCCGTGACAGCACACAGTTATTTTGTATGTCTCAGTTCAAAGTGCATAAAGAAGTGAGAAGACTTTTATGCAGCCCACCAGAGAGGGATTTTCAGAGCATGAAACAGAGTATGTGTTGCATATCTGCCAGTATGCCTGAGGGAAGGAGGAGGGTTAAGCATACCATCTCAGCACGCTTTGCACTCTAAGCTATACCTGTTGACTGTTTCCTTTGCAGTCTTTTTCCAACCCTGCCCTCCAGAACACCACTGGAAGAGCAATAGTGAAGCTTTGTTCTGGAGAAAGCCACTAACAGTGGTGCAAAACACAGGAAGTGAGATCAGCGTGTATGGCTAACCCACCAGAGTGCCCAGGACCAGGTGGTCAGCACTCAGATCCAACCCCAGACCTTTTCTGCAGCACTGCAGATGCATGAAGTAGCTCCAGAAGACATCTTCCAACTTAGTGTGGTGGTACATGCACAATTACCACAGCTTCACCTAATAAGCTACACTGCAGTGATGAAAGTGCCATCAGTCCCGTGCTTAGCGAATGGAGCTCACAGAAAGACTGCACTGTCTCTGAACAAGCCAGTCAGGAAGATGCAAGGATAAAAAGTTCAATTTACACAAATGCTGTGATGATTAGCAAAAGGAGAAAGGAAAAATGACAGTTTAATGAGATTTTAGCAGCAATTCTATGTGTCTCTGCATCTACCAAGAATTTTTTAAGCAGAAGTCTTTTTTTTTATATATACTTGTCTGGTCTGTCAACTGTGCTATCAAGATTAATAAGAAATTGCTAGAGTTTAAATGATCTGTGAATTACAAAATAGGTTGTTTACTCATCACAGCCGACACTTTGTGTTACAAAGTTGTGATTTTTTTAATGAGGTGAAGACTAAGATAATGGGGGGAAGGGCAGCAGTTAAACCAACTCCTGGAAATCAACTCAGCACTCCAAGCTGTTACTAGTTAGCTCATTTTTTAAACATCACATGCCCCTCATCTTCTGCAGTCAGAGTTAACAAAAAGAAAAAATTTCTCACATGGTATTGCACAAAGATTCCTCACAGTACTTTAAGTTTAAACTGATCAGCTCAGATTTGAGTGCCTGGAACGTGCTCCAATGCCAGAGACCACCCACGCTGATTTTAGCTCAGAACTGAGACCTTACAGCAGCATAAAAATTCAACCAAAATCAATATTCTGTTTTCAGTGCTTTATATTTAATCAATGGGCTAACACTTGTTTCCTCACCCTATAAATAAAGAGCAGTCATACTAAGTTGTACCATTATGGTCACAGCACTCTATGTAAAACCAGTGGTTCAGAGCAGACTTCAAATTTGGCTCTATATTGGGAATACACCTGTTACAAAAAATAATATAAATGGTCTTGAGAGTTACCATTAGAGGTTTTATAATAAATTGGTGAAGTGAACAAGGACAAAGTACTGAGGTTTTAAGAAGTCAAAAATATCAAACTGATGAATTATGTGCTGAGCTACTGCATATCATCTTTCACTTCAATGCTATAGAAAATCAGTAATGATTTTTAGAAAGAGCTCTGAGTGAGCTCAGACTATGTCAAAACTCATGCAAGTTTAATTTCTCTATCACACCAATTGTAAAGTTACAAGTAAGAAACAGAAACAGTAGGCAGAGATAAATACTGGTCACTGGAAGAGAGTCAGTATTTCTCTCCAAAATGCGAACTCTTGTGCTGACTTTCCCCCACCCACACAGAGAGAAAGAAAATTTCCCAAGGCTCTGATTCTCTCTTTTGTGTTTCTCTGCCCTGCCTGAGCTCAGGACAGGCTGAGATGCAGCAAAGATTGAAGAAGCTCCTGTTTTTCCTGTGCCTGTGGCTTCTGCTGCGTTGGTGTCACACACAGACGGGCAGCAGGAGCTGGAGTGGGTACAGAAAGATGAAGGGGGACCTAGGGAAGCATGGGGACTGTATGGTCTCCTGTCAGTCCTAACCAAGGTCTCTTCCCCATACCTGATCCAGAAGAGCCAGCCCTGCTGATAGGGCCCTTTAAGTAACTTACAGAAGGCCAAACTATGCCTGCTGCAAAGACAAATGCAAGATCCAAAGCAGCACTCGACCACATTTACCATGAAACCATCCTTGCTCTTCGCTCCTTTTGTCCACTTAGTAAATGGGAATCACATCAGAGGCTGAAATAAACAATGAAAGTCACCTCACCCATAGAAGGGTAGACCCATGGCACACAGACTTCAAGACAAATGTTCAGCTTCTTTATAGTGTATACAACCTATGCCATCAACACCTGAAATGGAAATTTCCCACACTACTGGAGTTTATAATTTTAATACCTGTATTTTAGACCCAATTACTTGTTTTACATATACACACAAGCTGTAATTTCTGTGCAGACAAACACATAGAATCAGCAATTATCTGCATGCACTGCAACTGTTTGCTAATGAGCTGCTTCATGTTTACAGGCTTTCACTACCCAATCCAAAATGGCTAATATTTATGAACCTATTTCACTAAGAAGTCAGTCCTTCAAAAAGACTGATTCTTTATCCTGGTGTACTACATATGGACACATTATCAATATCAAGTGAGTGGAAGAAAACTGATTGGTACTTTACCAGCTGAACTTTCATAGATACAGACATCACAAGTCTAACCTGCCAACCACAAGAAGCCTTACCATAAGGATATTTTGTGTCTAGTCTATTTGCTGCTGTTCTCGTCCAGGGTAGTACATCATCGCTGCAACCATTAGGCATCCCATTGTAGCCAATTCCAACAATCTTGTTTTCTGAATTTACAATGCAGGCACCAACCTAAATAAAATCAGATTTACATAGTACTAACAGCATGAAAACAGTATGCCAACAATGAAGAAGAGACATGAATAGTCAGTCCTACGACTTTCCTTTAAGAGCTACAAGCTTCACTTAGACACACCATGTAGTAAGCAGGGCTACAATTGTATCTAACTGGTGGGGCTTTGAAATAAGTCAGGGCAGATAGAACTCTGCTACCCCTCTGCTCATGCTGCTCCCATCCCAGCCTGCCAGCACTGTCTGCTTAAGAAATAATCTAGTTCAGGGAGCAGAAACAGCACTGAAGGAACCCTAGCAAACACATAAGTTCAGCTCCCCAAACTGGCTTTCCAGCAGCAGTAGGAGCAACAAGTTCTGAAAGACGTAACAAATATAAATGTTGGCTTATGCAGGCCTCACAAGACTTTGTGGCTTGTTGCAAACATGCACTAAAATTCCAAACCTTTTAACTCTCACCCTTTATTGCTTCAACCTAAGTCTACAAAGAGACTATTCTTAAAGAATGATGATGTGTCCCATTTTTATGTTTTCTACCTATATTTTTTGTTGAAATTGCAACAGTACTAATTTTAATTCACACAAGGTGTTTCTCAACCAGCCCTTGGGTAACAAAACTTTAGCCCCAAGTGAATAACCTTCAGAGAGCTAAGTGCTGTAATGGACAGAAGGAAGCGAACAGATTATTTTTCTGTGATTTGCTTCCTGATTTTTTTCACACAAAGGGTGACAACTAACAGGATGACTGGATCCTGCAGAACAAACAGCATGTTTCAGGAGCTGTATCAATCACCTGAAATCAATATTGAACAATATTGAACAGAGGCACATGAAACATGTGAAAAATGGAAACAGTGAAGCATGGGGAACAGGGGATCCTGAGGGAGGAACAAACTGGAAGAAAATTCCAGTCAACCCAATAACAAACAAATACTCTTACAGGTGAGGGAAAGAAACTTGTAAAATGCTGTGTCTTAAAAAATTACAACCTTGAACTTCCAGCAGTTTTATCCTCTTCTAAAAGTGACTATATTTACTGGAAAAAGGAGACAAAATGCATGTATTATTTTAACTTCCAGATGAAAAGATGATTCATAAAACTCCAAGCTACAAATGTACACAGAATTATACATATGAGGTCTGGCCCAATAACAGAATTTTTGTAACAGAAGGTGCTGACTATGTTAAAAACTGAATAGTTATACACTGAAATAACTTTTATTAAGAAATTCCTGAAACCATTATGTGTACATCTGATGTGATAGGCAACATAGATTAGGTTATCTTATTATTATATGTTACCTTCTTACCTGAGAGCTTGGATCCTTACTTCTTTGTGCTGACAGAAAAGCTACTGCCATAAAATATTCAGGCCATTCCAAATAATCCTCTCTTTTTTTGCAGGATGCTTCACTGCTGAAACAATAGTTGACAGAAAAAAAACAGCCATCAGCAAACACCACAGACCTAGAGTTACTACAAACTGTACTATTTTAATGTGCTCAAGTTTAAAGTAACCAGGATCAGAATGTGGCTAAGACCACACATTCACTAATATTTTGATAGTAAAACCATCAGTTTCAAGTGCTTTCCAGGAACTTATACATGCAACATTTCCTTTCAAGGAAAAGGCATCAAGCAAGGTTGCAAATTACATTTTTAGATAAGAAGGCTGAGATATTCAGAGCACTGAGCAATTCAAAGACAGAGCAATTTATCCTTTATAGATAACACCTTGTGTATTTCTAAGGTTCGGGTATATCATGTGCTGCCATTCTTCTCACCCAAACAACATAATCTTTTTTATGATGACTGTGATAACTGCCAACCTCTAATCTAAGTTATTTTGTGCTTCTGCCTACAAGTGCTCAGTAGCTTCCTATTTGGTAACTTCCTCTGCAGGCATTAATATCTGTTATCACCCTAAGTTTGCCTCTTGTTACAACATTTACCACCAAAGATCTGAGGCCATTCCAACAGTTCCTCGCTAATTTTCTCTTGCGATTTTGTCTTATGAAGCCTTCTGAAAACTGACAGGAGATGGGTTCAAGAACTTTTCCATAAGAAATAATATATACAAGTGCCACAAAAGGTTGCTTCTTTCCCTGCCCTGAAGGGTAAATTTGGGGAAATGAGGGAGGAATTTTCTCATGCCTGCTTATGGGTGAAAGCCTGCTCAGAGAGTGTAAGACACAACAGGGGAATTTCTGTGCTTTTCAGCTCAAAGAAAAGAAAGGCAGATATCTCCCTCTCCACACATACATTTAAGCTTTGAAAATTTCAAACAGAAGATCAAATTGAAAGAAATTTCCCCCAAACTTTCTCACCTATCATTACTACAGCTTGAAAACCAAACCAATGGAACATCCCAAATGCAATGATTTAGCCTATCAAAATACAAGGAGCACAGTACTTTTCTTTTTGGCCTTCTCTTACCAAAAACTACAGATTAAGACCAAGATGCCCATCTTGTGATGTACAGCCATACAGAAAAATTCATCACAGGTAACTGCAAGCAGCAAGACATCTCCTAGCAACACTAGTACCAGCACTTTCAGAAGACAAACATTAGCAGACAAGTGTTTAGTTAATCATTATTTTTATAACTAAAACCATGTATTAGAGGCTTGCAGTCAGCTTGTCATAAAAGAGGTTACAGTCTTTGAGTGAAAACAATGATAAAACTGTACTTTAGAAACCTACAATGTGCTATTTACCAAAGACAAATTGCTAGTTTTGAATAGTCTGTATGTGGCACATTACAAGTTAGCAATTTTGGCTTGTTCTTGGAATGAATGAGGATCACCTTTAAGGCCACCATCTCAAAGTAAGGAGGGAAGAACACACACTCTTGATGTAACCCACACACCTCTCTCACACTTTGACAACGTTGCAAATAGTGCCCAGAACTGTCAATTGTCAAAGCAAACACACAAATCAAGTATGTGATTCTAAAAATGCCCAAACTGACTTGACTCACTGTAACTAAAGGGCCAGGGCTATATCCTACCAAGAACAAAAAGTGCTCAGAGCAAGAAGAGATTAAACACATACCCTCACACCACTCTGTGCCAAACTGAACTTTGCCAGGTTAACTAAAACATGTTTCAGCTATATGATTATTTAAAATATCTCCAAAAAAGGGATTTACAACATCTAAACCACAACTGGACTCTCAATGATCGCTTCTGGCTAAGTGACATTCACAAAGATGTCTTTGGAGAGGGATAAAACACAATGCAGAACTACACTGAATAAACCATTCTGGGAAAAGGGCCCCAGAAAGATAGCAGTACTCTGAACTAAGAGGTTGTGAGATCTCCTTTTGTTAAATTATTCCCTAGCAACTCTACTTATTCAAAACATAACAAAAGCTAGTATTTACAAATACAGAACTGTATGTAAGTGGAGGCCCCTCAGAGCACCAACTTCACAGGGAGAAGAGCATAGCTAAAAAATAAGCAGAAGGCTTACATCAAAGAGAAATAAACCCCCCCCCAAAGCCCTTACTCAATTACTTCTACTTAACATGGCCATGTCTGGCAAGACAATTCCCTTACTCAGTGCACAAGAACTCAAGAGTGTGAAACGGGTATAAACCACTTAATTTCTGATTGAGCAGAAGCCAAGGCCTTGGCTAGCAGTCAAGCACACACATGAAAATTAGTTTATGGATTTGGGGCAGCTGATAATCTTCTTTATGCTCATTTGCAAGCTCTAGAATTGCATGAATGAAAGCTACTCTAGAAAATACTATAGCTAGCTGTAAAACAGGCAATCAAGGCTTACCCTTAGGATAAACCATAAGAACTTCTGAATAAAAACAACAGAAACTGAAAGCTATGAAGAATACTGCTAAGAACAATGGGGAGAAAGAAAAACCTAAATTTTAGAATAATTAGTAGTCTATAGAAAATTTTGTAAATGTTGTTTCAAGGGAAAATAGAGAAAAAGATTCTATAACTAGAGAACACTGCCTCCCTTTTCACTTCTTTTTCATCCATCTAGGCTTCAAGTAAGCTGTGACACCGTCTGAAAAAGGAACAAATGTCATTCAGCTACTTAAAAAATGGTCTAGCATAACAAAAATTTATTTTGGGAATCCTAAAACAGAATTTGTAATCTCAATTTTTTTCATACGACAATTATGACAGCTGTACAACAATATAGTACAGCAGGAGGAGTGGGGGGTATCAGATCAATCTCACTCTTTTATTAAGTTTTTCCTCTGCTTCCTTATCTGTGATGTCATGTGTATTGTATTACAACTCTATTCGAACAGTATTATTCCCCAGTACCATGTATACTACTGAAGACCAACTATCAATACCTTGGCATTGAAATCACAGGTAAAAAGTGAAGTGTGTATTAAAAATAAGAAATAAACATCCTCAAATAAGCTCTTCCTCCCCAAAAGCCAAACAGGATACTGGCTCTTGATGACCATTAATACAAGCTTCTTATTTAAATCTCATATTTTATTATCATTACTAGATTAAATGAATGTGGGATTTCCTTTACTTGGGGCTTCTCATTTTTCCCATCATATAGGTACTGAGATAGGGTCATTACATATTCCGTACTGGGAAGGAAGGTTTTCAAAGAGAAAACTCAGTCTTTCTTACAGAAAAACAGTACTCAGTTCATTGCAAATTAGTTGTATTCACAATTTTCTTGGGAGATAACCCATCAAACCTGCAAAGATAAACACTGTGTTTGAATACTGAGCCTCAATTAAGCAGTATAAGAACACTTCCCTTCACTGAACGTACTTCACTTCTACAGAGTCACTTCTGACTTTAATTAATTGCCTATTACTCACGCCGGTCCTCATTTCCGGAAATAATGAACACAAGACACCCTGCACGCTCTTCTTCCCATCCCAGCGATTACGAAACCCACGTCAAACAGGCCATGCTCTCACCACAGGGCCTTCAGGGGCTCCAGGAGACGCCTCCCCACCGGGAAGGATCTCCCCCGGCACGGCGCTGCCCGGGGAGCTCCCG